AATTGGTTGTCTACCTGATTTCTGTAAGGATGTTTCTTACATTTTCTAAGATTCTTATAGTTTGAGGTTTTATGTTTAGCTCTTTGATCCATTTAGAGGTGATTCTTGTGTGTGGTGATAGGTAGGAGTCCTGTTCTAGTCTTCTGCATGTGATCAGCCAGTTTCCCCAGCACGATTTACTGAATTGGTTCTCCTCTCCTCAGTGGTTATTGGTGGAGGATTTGTTGAAGATGAGTTGGTTGAGAAATTGAGGTTTTATTTCCAGAATCTCTATCCTGTTCCATTGGTACATATGCCTGTTCTTGTACCAATGCCAGGCTGTTTTGATTATTGTGGCCTTATAGTAAAGTTTAAATTCTGGAAGTGTGATACCTCCCACCTCATTTCTTTTGCTAAGGATTGTTTTGACTATTCGTGGTCATTTATATTTCCATATGAATTTCTGTATTGTTGTTTCCAGGTCTGAGAAGAATGATGTTGGTAATTTAATGGATATTGCATTGAATCTGTAGATTACCTTGGGTAAGATGGACATCTTAACAGTATTGATTCTTCTTATCCATGTGCAATGGGTACATGTGTGTACCCCCTGAATTCAAGATACAGTAACAGCAATAAAGAGAACAGAGAAACGTGTAATGAAATAAGATGGGTAAAACAAACAAACAAACATAGAAACACAGAAAAACAAAAGTAGAAACCAAAGCAAACCAATTCCTATTCAGAACCCTAAAGGCCAACACCTTAAGAAATCAGGTAGACAAGTGGGACCTCATTAAATTAACGAGCTTCTGCAAAGCAAAATAAACCATCAAGAGAGTAGGGAGACAGCCCACAGAATGGGAAAAAATATTTGCCAACTGTATATCTGACAAAGGCCTAACATCTAGAAACTACAAAGAACTCAAATGTGCCGAAGGTAAAAAAAACTAATAGCCCCTTTAAAAAGTGGGAAAAAGACATGAATAGGACACTTCTCAAAAGAAGATATATGGGCAGCCAACAGACATACCAAAAAGTGCTCAGCCTCACTCATTCTCAGAGAAATGCAAATCAAAACCACATTGAGATATCCCCTAACCCCTGTAAGAATGGCCATCATTAATAAAACAAACAACAACAGATGCTGGTGAGGATGTGGAGAAAAAGGAACGCTTCTACACTGCTGGTGGGGATGCAGACAAGTACAACCTCTTTGGAAGACAGTGTGGCAATTTCTGAAAGAACTAGAAATCAACCTTCCATATGACCCAGCAATTCCCCTATTGGGAATATACCTGGAGGAACTCAAATTATTCTACGACAAAAATACATGTATGTTTGTTGCAGCTCTATTCACAATAGCAAAAACATGGAACCAACCGTGTTGCCCATCGAAGCTAGACTGGATAAAAAAATGTGGTACATATACACAATGGAATATTATGCAGCCATAAAGAAGGACAATATATGGGCTTTGCAGCAAACTGGATGGATTTGGAGTCTATCATACTCAGTGATTTATCACAGAAACAAAGAACTGAGTTCCATATGTTCTCACTCATGAGGTGATCTAGAACAATTATAATGCTGTAAGAAAGCGATTGGCAGTAGTGGAAAACTGTCGGGGGGGGGTGGTACTGGCAGTTGAGGGAAACTGCTAGGGGAGGGAGGGTCATACCTCATCAACAAGGGTACCTGCATGATCAATGTTTGTATACCTAACCCTGAATTGTACCTTACATCTTTAAAATAAATAAATGAATTAAAAAAAAGAAATCAAAGCAAAACACACACACACACACACACACACACACACACACACACTAAAACTAAAACAAACTGGGAGAAAAAAGCAAAACAAACAAAAAAGAAAAAAGGCAAAACAGGAAAACTGAACACACACACACAAACACACACACACACACACCCCCAACAGAAAAAAAGAGGAAAAAAAAAGGAATTCAAGTTGAACCCTCACACATACATTCACATACACATTAAACTAAAAAAAGAACAAACAAAACAAACAAACAAAAATGGAAAGATGAACACTTAATCATTCACCTACACATATAAACAGAAAACAAGAAATGAAAGAGGAAAGGAAAAAAAAGGAAGAAAGAAATAAAAGGTGTGTGTGGGGGGCATCCAGATTGAACCCTTACATACACATTTGTGTGCAAAGGAAACAGAAAAAAGCAAAAAACAAAGAAAGAAACAAACAAAAAAACTCCCTCCAAAACAAAGAAACAACCTGCCCTCTTATGGCAGGTTCCGTAATTGTTCCTCTCAGTGGCTCACAGGTAAGGCCATCTGTAGTCTCCTGTAGAACTGCAGCCTCAATCACAATTTGCCTGGGGAAGGAGGAGGAGGCAGTTGGGTAAGTGGGGCTTCAGTCCTCCCCTCCCACTCTCATATTTTCAGGGGGATTCCCTTTGGTGGGGAGGTGTGGGATTGTCTTTTTCCCAGTTGCTGGCAGGGAACGCCCCAGCCAGGCTTATCCTGTAATAAAGTCCTCCAATCATGGCTGCCGTCCAGGCTCCATTTGGGTTCCTCCCTCTCAGTTGTGCCCCACCTGTGTGGGTTTGATGTTCAGAGGGTTGTTGGGTCAGTCCTAGACTCACTGCTGATGTCGTCGGGGGTCTTCCTCATCCTTTTCTGGTCACATCCTTTGTCCCATGACTGAATTAGGGTAGGGGGTGAGGCACCTGAGACTCAGCACTCATCTTGTCCCTCTGGAGCTGGTGCTTTGGGGATATTCCCTCTGAGTCATGATCAACCCCTGAGTAGTTAATCCACCTATCACAGAGATTCGGTCTGTCTCTCTGTGGCGAGCAAGCCAGAGCACTTTCCTGCCCAGTTCTCAAGATGGTGACAGGGTGACTCTTTCATCTTCTCCGATGGGGCTCTGCCTCTGGGCTTCCTCACTGTGCTCCCTCCACAACCCTTGCTGCCAGTGTCCGGCCGGTGCTGTAGTGGTGAGGCAGAGCCTGGAGCTGGCAGTCACTCCTAACAACTTCTTTCCAGGAAGGACCTTGTTGATTTGAAAAAAATGGCGTTTGGCTTCTGTGCTTGGGAAGTGCCAGGGTCCAAGCAGAGCAGCTGTGGCACCAGCCACTTCACCTGGACACTTGCTCCTGAGTCCCCACTCAGTCAGCCACTCACATGCCCACTTACTCACAGGAACATATGCAAAATTGTCCATACACTCACTCACTCACGCACACTAGGGCTCACATAGTCTGACGGGCTCCGCTGCCATCTTCCCAGAAGACCACATCATAAGGATTGATGATGATGATGTTATATCCTTATTTTAGGTGAGAAAACTCATACTCAGAGAGGTTAAGCAACAATTCTGACGGTTTGTAACTACCAAGAAAAGGCCAGGAAAGTCTTTGAATGTAGATTTCTTTGATCTCCATTGTCCGCGACACACTGATAATAAATAAAAAGACACTGATTGTGAAGAAATTTAGTCCATCCAGTGTTGTCCCATCAGACTTAATCAGATTAACATTCCCTTCTTTTAGGACAAGCAAAGGATGGAAGGGACTTCCTATTCTCCAATAGTTTTACAAGAATGCACTATCGTTCCAGAAGCCTGTCCTGAGTCTCAGCAAATATGACAGACGTGAGGAACATTAGGGACTGAGAATCGGATGAGGCATGCCTCCTGAGAGGAGACCATTGCCCACCGAGTGGAAACAGAGATGCAGTTTATTCAGTAAAAATGTGGACAAATGGGCTCATCATAGGATGGGCATCAGAGAAGGCATCTTTAAAGACGGGCTTCACATCACAGTGAAGAGATCGTCCCACCATTGAGCTCCTCCTGTCTACTCACATGACAACTCTTTCTGTGTCTTCCCAGGCTGTGTGGCTGCAGACTCAATACAGATACATTGAAAGACAAAAGAACACCTCTAGTCAAGATTTCCAATCATTACCAAAGGTAATTGCCAGAAAGAGTTATGGTTATTTCTTCTTCAGCTGCATTCAATGAGGATAATACATAAGAAGCATATATTATTTGGGGAAAAATGGAATCTTTTGAATCTTATTCCTCTGTTTTATGTAAGTTCTTAAGAAGCAGAGACATGTAGATTGTTTGCATAAAAATCGGTATCGATTGCTTTTATTTATTATAACAGATACACACGTTTAATTTCACTAATGTCCTGGTATTTCAGTCAATCATCTTAAGATTCTGTTGTCTTGGGCACCAATGATGGGTAAAGTTAGACAATAAACTAGGAATCAACCCTCTTCTTAAAATTTACAACACAGTTGTTTAGGTCCATAAGCATGTTGACCCACTATGAAACTAAACCTTGTGGCAAATACTAGGTGTTGAGAATTGACTGAGGTATGCTTCCTGGGGTGGAGAGAGCAACATTCAGTGGGAGACAGAGGCAGAGTTAAATTCAATATAACGAGAGATGAGGTGGAGTCAAGAGGGCCTGAGAGAAGGCCTTCATGAAGACAAAATATGGGGTCTATGTGTATTAACATAAAATCTTCTTGCAGAGCCTGTCCTACCACTGGGCCTCTGCTCCATATTAATTGTATCAATCCCATTTTGTTTTTCTTTTCTTTTCTTTTTTTTTTGAGTTGGAGTGTCACTCTGTCACTCAGACTAGAGTACAGTGGCCGCTCCCGGCCACTGCAGCCTCCACTGCTGGGCTCCGGTGATCCTTCCACCTTAGTCTTCCAAGTAGCTGGAACTATAGGCACGTGCTCCCACACCGGCTAATTTTCTGATTTATTGTAGAGATGAGGTCTCGCCAAGTTGCCCAGGTGGGTCTCGAACCCGTGGGCTCAGGCAATCCACTCACCTCAACCTCCAAAAATGCTGGGATTACAGGCTGAGCCACCGAGCCTGGCTCCATTTTGCTTTTTTAGGATATTTTTAGAGTTGCCAAATCTTCCTTCTGTTGATCAGTTAGAAATTTCGGATTGGCCACAGGGAGAGCCATCATGGAAAAATGTTATTCCTGAGTTTCATTCCTCCAAGAATGAGGTTCTCTGGTAAGGGAAATTATTTTATAGGAAAAGCTGACAGTATTGGATGCTGCTTCTCAATATCACAGAGGAACAGGAGAATCAGAGGATTTGGCTGATTTTTATAGGAATCAGGGGAGAAGGAATGAGCTTATGCAATACCACCAATGAATCCAGAAACTTCTGATTCAAATCTTAGGCAACTATGTCTTTGTCCATGGCAGTTTCTAGGGAAACTATGCAAAAAAGGCGGTAAACAACGCAATCAGAGACCACTGCGCATTGGTCAAGCTGCTAACCAGTGCATAAAACCAATTTGATTCTCTAGGAAGCTGGCTGATTGTAAAGCTGAAGGCTGGAGTAGGGTCCGTGAGGTGGTGTGCTGGTGAACATTTAACACCAGGGAAGGCAAGGAGAGCCTCTATTTGTGGTGTTTACCAATTTCCATGGAACGACTATTCCCATCATGGCAGATTTCAACCTACCAACATGAGGTCTTTGATCATGGAGCTGGGAAGACATGTCCAGTCGTCTATCATTATATTTTCTCCATGCAGATACAATAGACATTAATGACTTAAAGGGCATAGACTACAGTCAAGTGTAGTAAAATAACTAGAAATTGGGTTGGGCATGGTAACTCATTCCTATAATCCCAGCACATTGGGAGGCTGAGGTGGGAGGATCACTTGAGCCCAGGAGGTTCGAGACCAGCCTGGGCAACATAGCAAGAACTCATCTCTATAAAAAACTAAAAAAAATTAGCTGGGCATGGTGGTGCATGCCTGTACAGGTACAGGGAGGGTGAGGTAGGAGAATTGCCTGCACCCAGGAGATTGAGGCTGCAGTGAGCTGTGATTGTGCTACTGCACTCCAGCCTGGATGACAGAGTGAGACCCTGACTCAAAAAAAGAAACCTAGACATTGGTATGTTTTAGGTATTTATTACTTTTGTTTCTAATATGATTTGTTTAAATATTAGTTTGATTTTTATGAACGTTTGCATTTAACAACCTGCTCGCCAGAATCCTGGGAATGTAATAGTCTGCAGCTCAGTGTTGGCTTCTTCCCACCTTCTAAATACCTTCATCAGCCTGCCAACGGAATCCAGCATGCACCATGAGAGAGAATAAAAAACAGCATGTTGACTCCGAGTGCTTCACGTGTAGCTACTCTAATCCGTGGTTAAATGTGTAGCCCCGGACAGCACCAAATCTTAGGATGGCAGCCCAAAGGTCTCCAGCTGCTTGGCTTGTCCATAGAACCCTTCTGAGAAAAGAGCTATAGAGCCTTCTTTTAACCCCAGTTTTCTGGATACCCGTTCTTTCTAACCCTGATCCATGTTCTCTGTCATGTTGAAACAAGTAGACATCTCAAGGGATCAAGAATTCCATGTGTATATTAAGAATCAAGGAAACCTAGGGAAATGTCAGCTGAAAACTAAACCCTATTTCATGATTCCATGTCAGCATCTTTATGCAACAACTGTCATCCCCACAGAAGTGAATGTGGTTTCAGTTTCCTGTTTCATCATAGTTCCTGTTTTGGTGCTGGGACTCTTGTCCTCCAATTCTTCCGGTGTTGCTTCACTTTCAAACGCCTTGAGGCAGAGATTTGCTTTGGGATTGTTGTCTTTACACAGAAGGGATCACCTGTGTTTGGGCAGATTTCTCTCACCTGGTGCTTGATGAGTTCTCGGCTCACCCTATAGATCATCAATGATGGTTCGATGTTAGAATCCCCTGGGAAGCTTTAAATGTATCGATGTGATACTTGGGTCCCACCCCCAGTCTTCTGATTTAATTGGTCTGAGCTACTACCTGGGTGTTGGGCGGTTTTTAAAGCGTCTAAGGTGTGGCCAACGTGGATACCATGGCTATGAATGCATGCATTTCACTCATTGGTCAACTACTGCTTCAGTCTTGCCATCATATGATGGCAAGGGGAGCAATTTAAGCCAAAGAAACAGTCTGTGGTCACATTCAACACAGCATAATAGAAGAAGAGGGAGAAATGTCAAAACACATTTGGCTCTAAGGCATCCTTTACTTCTATTATTCCTAAATTTGGTTAAAAAAACTTTATCCAAAGCATCATCTAGTTTTTAATATTCTGAACCAGTCTTGTCCAAGATAATTTTCTGTGATGATGGAAATATTCTATTATGTGCCACCCATAGACAAGCTCAGGGTTCTATGGACAAGCCAAGCAGCTGGAGACCTTTGGGCTGCCATCCTAAGATTTGGTGCTGTCTGGGGCTACACATTTAACCACGGATTAGGGTAGCTACACGTGAAGCACTCAGAGTCAATATGCTGTTTTATATTCTCTCTCATGGTGCATGCTGGATTCCGTTGGCAGGCTGATGAAGGTATTTAGAAGGTGGGAAGAAGCCAACACTGAGCTGCAGACTGTTACATTCCCAGGATTCTGGCGAGCAGGTTGTTAAATGCAAATGTTCATAAAAATCAAACTAAGATGACAGCCGTGGGTGACATGTGGGTAGTAGCACTTGGATAGTACAACTGAGAAACTAAAATTTTAATTTAATTAAGTTTAATTAATTTAAGTAGCTACGTCTGGGTATGGTTATTGCATTGGACAGCACAGCTCTAGTTTTTTTTTTTTTTTGAGTCAGAGTCTCACTCTGTCACCCAGGCCAGAGTGCAGTGGCACGCTCACGGCCACCATAGCCTTGACCTGCTGGGCTCAGGCGATCCTTCCGCCTCAGCCTTCCAAGTAGCTGGAACTACAGCAGCATGCTGCCATGCCTATTTTTTGATTTACTGTAGAGTCGTGGTCTCGCCAAGTTGCCCAGGCTGGTCTTGAACCCGTGGGCTCAGGCATTCCTCTCACCTCGGCCTCCCAAAAAGTGCTGGGATGATAGGCGTGAGCCACCAAGCTCAGCCTAGCTCTAGTTTTAAACAACTTCTTCATTTTCACCAACTAAATCTTGATATTTTCCTTATTTTTGTAACACGAGGACCCTATGTGCCAACATACCAGGAGGCCAGAAATCTCCACAGGGAGAAGAAACAGGTAATGTGCTGATGGGGAGGAGTGAAGGGTGTGTGGGTTGATGGAAATGTTCTGTGGTTTTATGTGGTTTAATTGTGAGGTCTATTGTGCAGTGACAATCAGAAATGATTGTCACTACAGTGTACCTTGAAGTTTAAACGGGGGAAATTTAAGTTTCTCACCCCTGGAGCATGGAAATGCTTAGGGGAATCAGAGGATGGTCCACGGTGGCTGGGTACAGTGGCAGGGACTAGGAAGAACATGTGTTCTCCTCCTCTTCAACTGTTATGCTTGATTCTTTTTTTGGCCTGGACTTTCCCCACCAGCAGAAGGTGTCTCAGCCATGAGGGGGTACCCCCTAAAAGGGAATTTATTTATTAAAAAATCGTGTATTTATTCTTACATGTTGAAACTTCAGTTGCCTTCAAAGCACTCTTTGTTTGATGCAATACACCTACTGAACTCATCAATTTTGATATCTTTTAGTGCTTCTGCTGTTTTTTGTTTCACCTCTTCCTCATCACTAAAACGTTTCCCTTGGAGGACTTTTTCACCCGAGGAGACAAAAATAAAGTTGTTCAGGATGATATTGGGTGAATAGGGAAGGTGGGGCATGGATGTCATGAGGTTTTTTGGTTAAAAACTGCTAAACACTCACTGCTGTGTGGACAGGTGCACTTGTAAATCTCTCACCATGAAATGGGCAAACTTGTTGAATCTCTCCCCCCCAATTACTGAAGCCAAATGCAGCCCCTCACAACATTAGCTGGTACATTGATGCTGATGGGTTTCTAGAACACTTACCTAGCAGGGGAAGCATGTACTATAAAATAAATAGACCGCCAAAAAATAAATCTGTTTTTTTGGGGTCTCCCTCATATTTGAGACCAGTAGAAATTTAACTGCATTGGTTCCAGTCCTAGGCAAGTGGTACTCACCATTAAAGGTGTCCAGTCTGACTTCCCAGAAAAACTTATAGAATTTAGGGATACAATGTCAGTATCAATAAAAAACAGTCTTATACGCTTGCATGTCTGGATTCAAAGAAGCAAAATCCCCTGTTCTGGCCTCTTTTTGTTGTCATTCTTTATGTATAATCCCAACAGCACCTTGTAATTCAGAACTCCTTTGGGCTGTGCCTTTTCCAATTATTTATGTCTTGCATGTGCATTTTCTTTTCAGAAGATATTTACTTAGAGGCGGAGCAAATACTTTCCTCTTTTGCTTTTAAATCCTGCTTTGAGGTTGAACAAGACTGTACAAGCTATCAGTTTCTGGGACCTGAAGGATGTGTGACTATTGAATTGGTTGATAAGAGCACAAACACATATAGGTAAGAATGGAAGATGCTGATGATTTAAACAAACTCCAATATAAAGGAAGTCTTTAGGATCCATTTTTAAAAGATATCTGAAATTTGATCAACAATATGTTTATTTTTCGCACTCCCAAGTTGGTATTTTAATTTCTTTCTTTCCTTTTTTTTTTTAAAGTCAGTGTCTTGCTCTGTCACCCAGCCTGGAGTTCAGTGGCACAATCATGGCTCACTCTCACTACAACCTTAAACTCCTAAGCTCAAACAATCCTCCCACCTCAGCCTCCTTAGTAACTGGGACTATAGGCATGCACCACCATACCTGGCTAATTTCCTGATTTTTTTTTTTTTTTTGTAGAGACGAGGTCTCACTTTAACTCCTGGCCTTAAACTCCTGGGCTTAAGAGATCTTTCTGCCTTGGTTTCCTAAAGTGCTAGGATTACAGGTGTGAGCCACTGTGCCTGGCCTTTAATTTCTACATATATAGAATGCAGAAAAGTTGGGGCCCAGAGAGTTTAATGACCTCTCCATTCTTCTTTTCTTATTTAGCAAAAGTTTCAGATAGGAATCTTGCTTTACCCCAAATACTACATCCATCTACGCACTGTTGTTTAAATCTAAGTTCCGGTGTTCCTTCTGTCATCACGACCATCACTATGGTTCCTTTCAGCGTCTACTTCCCCACTGCTGGCTTTTATTTATGGTCAGCCACGGGCCTTGGCTTCATGGTGAGGATGGCAGTGACTGTGAGGATTGCACTTGGTTCCTGGAGTCAGTACCTGGAATTGGCCCTGCAACACAGTGAACAGTGGCTGGTGGCTGGCCCCTTGTTTGACATCACTGCAGAGCCAGAGGGGGCTGTTGCTGCAATCCACCTCCCCCATTTCATCTCCCTCCAAGGTATTGGGGGGTGAGAGGAGGCTGTGGGGATGGCCGGGGAGCATTCTGTCTCTTGGTCACTGTGGTTCTTCTGCAGCAGGTGAGGTCAATGTCTCCTGGTTCTTAGTTGCCCATTTTAAGGATGAAGGAATGATCCTGGAGCAGCCAGCCTGGGTGGAACCTTTCTATGCTGTCCTGGAAAACCCCAGCTTCTCTCTGATGGGAATTCTGCTGAGGATTGCCAAGGGGACCCGTCTCTCAGTCCCCATCACATGCACCACATTGATCTATTATCACCCCCATCCTGAGGATATTAAATTCCATTTGTACCTTGTCCCTAGCGATGTCTTCCTAACGAAGGTAAGGCTGACTGATTTTGGAGGTCATTGCAGATGATAATTGCTTTTCCAGATTACCACCTTGGTCCCTCCAGCCCTTTGTGGAATGGAAAGGTCAAGGCTCAGTTTTCATTGAGAGAAGCAAGAGTCACCCTTCCCGAGGTTAAACCACAGATACTGACCCTTGATCCATGGGCAACCATCTCCAGAGAAATTGAGTGCTATTGAAAAGGGAGTGTCTCTCTTCTGGCTCTCAAGGAGAAGGAGAAAGAGGAGATTGGCAGAAGGAGTAAGAGGCAGAGATCACATCACTAAACTTTCTTTTTATTTTTAACTAAATGTTTAAAACTTTTATTTTGAAGATGTGGGGTACAACTCAGGATTAGGTAGATAAGTGGTCATTGTACAGGTAAAGTTATCTGAGTACACCTTAGACACTCACATCAGTAGAGTCACCCTCCTTCCATTCAGTGACATCTCCCTCCAATGCATTTGCAAAAGGCTGATAGTTCTGCACCCTCTCCTGGATTAGTGATGAAACAGATGTGCTGGTCACTGTGGCCCCACAGCTGCTGCATTCCTGGAGAAAGTGTCACTTCTATCCCCCCAACCTCGGCGGGGAGACTATGTGAGGAAGATTCGATTAAGTTCTACTGTTCAGTGGTGTGAATGCCCCCCCTTCCCAATATCAAGGGGCAAGTGTGTCCCTTGCAGTATTCTGGGTGGTGTGTAACCATGGGTATCTAAATGCAGGATAAAACATTTTTAATTTTTATTTTTTGAGTCAGGGTCCCACTCTGTTACCCAGACTGGAGGGCAGTGGCATGATCATGGCTCACCACAGCCTCGACTTCCTGGGCTCAGGTGATCCTTCCGCCACATCCTCTCCAGTAACTGGGATTACAGGTGCACATCATCACACCCAGCTAATTTTTAAATTTTTGTAGAAGTGAGGTCTCATCATGTTGCCCAGGCTAGTCTCAAATTCCTGGGCTCAAGCGATCCTCCTGCCTCTGCCTCCCAAAGTGCTGGGTGTACAGGTGTGAGCCACTGCGCCCAGCCAACATTTTAATCTTAGATGCTAAGAATGACCATCCCCACAGTGGGCAGGACATGAGTAAATTCCAACCACTTCTTATGTGAATTTTCTTTTCATTCTCGGCCCACCCCAGTTCTCAGCCTTGACTTGCTGTTTCTTCTTTTTTCCTCTTCCAAATCTCAAATCACTTTCCTCATAGTTTACTGATACACTAGAAACTCAATGAGATGGGAATGACCTCACTGTTACACCAACAACTCTGTGAGCTTATTTCTGCATCATCTTTTCCTCTTTTCCTCCTCTGTACCCAAAGAACCTGCCCTCTTTACACACAAGGCGACTATCTAAAATCTGTCCTGGATCCCTTTCTTTCTTGCCTTAGATGGGATACCACAACCTCAGACATTTTCCCTCACCTCCACCATTAGTCTCTCCTGCCCTTGGGCATCATTCCTCTCACTCAACCAGAATCGAGAATTCTCCTCCACTGGAAATGCTGTCCTTGACCATTTGTCCTTCTCCAAGCACAGCTGTGATTTTTCTCTTTTGCTTCTTAGCAAATGGACCAACAACTTTGTGTACTCAAAGTTTCTAGATTCCTCAGTTCTCATTCTGTCTCCAAATACTTCACCACCATTCCTTAGAATGGCTCTACTCAGCCGGGTGTGGTTGCTCATGCCTGTAATTCCAGCTCTTTGGGAGGCTGCCGCAGGAGGATTGTCTGAGGTCAGGAGTTCAAGACCAGCCTGGGCAACATAGTAGAGACCTCATCTCCACAAAAAAAAAAAAGAAAAAAAAAGAAAAAAAAAAAAAAAAAATCAGCCGTGCGTGGTGGTGCATGCTTGTAGTCCTGGCTACTCGGGAGTCTGAACTGGAAGAATCACCTGAGCCCCAGAAGGTCAAGGCTGTGGTGAGCTGTGATTGTGCAACTGTACTCCAGCCTGGGTGACAGAATGAGACTCCAACTCAGGGAGGGGGGAGGAGGAGGGAAGGGGAGAAGAAGGGAGGGGAGGGAAGGGGGGGAGAGAGAGAGGAAGGGAAGAGGAGAGGAGAATGGCTCTGCTTAAAGTCACCCAGTGAATTCCATATTGATGAATTCTTACCTGAAGTCTCAGTATAATAGACTGCTCCCTTCCTTGAAACTCTGCAGGATCCTGTGACACCATATTTTCACAATTTCCCTATGGCTCTTCTTACTATCTCTTCAGATGGTCTCTCCAGCTCTTACTCAGAAACCCTCTCTGAACATTGAGTTCTGAAGGCTGAATATGGGCTCTCCTTCCCCCTGTCTGTACTCACTGATAGACTTGGTGAATTCTTCCAGTCCCATAATTGAGTTCTCCATAAGAAAAGATACTGATTTTTAAATCAGTATCTCCAGTCCTGGTCATTCTTCAGAGCTCCCACTTGTAACTGTCTACTTCATCTCTCCATTTGACTGCTTACTCAGCATATCTAACTTTATATACTGACTTGATTTTTTTCCCCTAAAACTGTTTTTCCAACTTTCTTCCCCACTCAGAGTATAAGACCAAATTCTGTTGTGTCATTTAAACCATACTTTAGAATTCATCTTTGATTCTTCCATTTCCTTTCTTTCCCACACCCAATGTTTCATCAATCTTCAGTGATTCAAGAATTTAATTTTCATAGCACAACTTGGACAGTTTCATTCCCTTCAACATTACTTTAGTTCAATCCACTGCCATCTTTTGCGGGAAATGTGACTGAAACCTTCAAGTGTGTCTCATTAGTTCCATTTCTTAAAATCTACCATCTATTTTTTTGTTTTAAAATCTAAGAACAGGAAGATATATTACAAAATAAATAATATCACATCACTCTTTGGCCAACACTCTTTAATAGATACTCATTACTTGGCCAGGTGTGGTGGCCCATGCCTGTAATCCCAGCACTTTGGGAGGCCGAAGTGGGAGGATTGCTTGTGCCCAGGTTTTTGAGTCCCGCCTGTGCAAGATAGCGAGACCTTGTCTCTATAAAAAAATCAAATAATTAGCGTGTAGTCTCAGCTACTCGGGAGGCTGCGGCAGAACGATTGCCAGAGCCCAGGAGGTTGAGGCTGCATTGAGCCGTGATTGTGCCACTGTACTGCAGCCAGGGTGAGAGAGTGAGACCCTGAGTCAAAAAAAAAAAAAAAAAAAAAAAAAAGATACTCATTACACGTAGAACATGAACATAATCATTTGCTCTGGCCTTATGTGGTCCTAGATAACCTCTCTTGTCCATATTCCACAGCTCTTTTCTTACTCATGTTGCCCAGCCTGGTTCTGGCACCTCTCATCTGTATGCGCCTACTCCAAATGCTCCAAGAATTTTTGCTCATGGGCCCTTGCCCTTCTTGCTTCCGTGCAAGACTGGCTTCTTCTCATCCCTCCAGTCTTTGTCTACATATTTCTGCTTTAGAAAGTTTTTCTGTAGACCCTCCAGTTTGGTCCACCCATCTGGTGATTATTGACTACTGCACCCTTCACCACACTCTTCTGTTTCCCTCCATTGTACTCGCATACCTCTGCTTATTTATTTATTGTCTGTTCCTCTGTAGGTTGTATACTCCATATAATGGGAGGGATCACTTCTATTTAACCACAGATTAAACACACGATGTGAGACCTATTATATGAGAGGGGTCCTCAAAACCCCAGAACTTATTTTATTAAAAATTGTGTATTTATTCTCACATGTTTAAATTTCAGTCACCTTCATAGTACTCTCTGTTTGAGGCAATACACCTATTGAGATGCTTTTTCCACTGCTCAAAACAGTTTATGAACTTGTCAATTTTGATGTTCTGCTATTTTTCGTTTTACAAAAAACAGTGCTTTTGCTATTTTTTGGTTTACCTCTTCCAATTGGCAAAACATTTCCCTTTGAGGACTTTTTTCATCTGGGGAAGCAAAAAGAAGTTGCTCAGGGTGAGATTGGGTGAATGAGGAGAGTGGGAAATGGGTGTCATGCCATTTTTGGTAAAAAAAAATAACTGCTGAACACTCAGCATGGTGTGATCGGTGGGTTGTAAATCACCCACCATGAATTGGGCAAATGTGTTGAAAGAATCTCCAAAACAAGAAATTCACGGAAACCTCTCACAACAACACTAGCTAGTACACTGATGTCAGTGGGTTCCTAGAACACTCACCTTACAGGGGAAGCCTGTAATGCAAGGGAACTGCCTGCCAAAAGATAAATCGGGTTTTTTTGGATCCCCCGTAGTTACTGCATGAAATTTTGCTGTCTGGATGAAATGTGGTCTGTCTTCTTTTACCCTATCGAGGGTGGGGCAGGGGAAGGAAAGGGGAGGAAACTTTTCTTCAAACCACAAATTCAACTCAAAATACCAATTATTGCCCTGATAACTTTCTTATTTCAAGAGCAACACAGTCAGATGTGATATTCACTAGCCACATGTGGCTATTAAGTATGTGAATTGAGATGTGCTGAAAAATTTAAATATACACAGGTTTTGAAGGCTTAATATGAAGAAAAGTACATAAATATCATTTATTTTTTATATTGGTTAGGTTACATGTTCAGATGATAATATTTTGGGTTATATGAAAAGTAATTTCATCTGCTTCTTTTTGCTTTTTAAAAAACATGGCTGCTAGAAAATTGAAAACTAAGCTTGGGGCTTGCATTTAATTTCTCTTCAACAGTGCTGTTCCAGGGAAATTCATTTATCTCTTCAATAAATATTTATTGTATGCCTTACATATGCCAGGCTTTATCTTAGGAATTGGGGATATATCAGTGAAAAAAACAGGAAAAAACATGACAACCAAAAATACTGTATGGAATGTTCAGATGCTCTAGGAAAATATATATGCATATGACAGTAACTATGAAAAATAAAGAATTTTAAGAAAACAAATACAGTGACATATTTCTTAACATCTGGAGAAGTCCAGATGACTGGCGGGGTAATGATAACCCATCTGGAGAAGTCCAGATGACTGGTGGGGTAATGATAACCCCACTAATGTTATATGGATGTATTTGGCTATTTTAGTTCCAATTTGTTGTTATTATAATTTTAATTAAATATATATCTTCATCTAAAATAATGATTCGGGGCAACCCCTTCGGGTCCCCTCCCACTGTGGGAGTTTTCTGTCCTTTCAATAAATCCTGCTAAAAAAATAAAAATAAAAATAAAATAATGATCCATCAGAGATGACATGATACATCATGTTGTTCACTCATCAGTTTCTTTTCATCCTTCTGGAGCTGGTACTCTTTATAGCCATAGGTGTGACACCTCCTGGATGCTCTCTCTGTATCCCTTCTCTGCTTTCTTTCCATCATAGTTTGTCTCTTTGCTCAATACAATTTGAGTTTTTTCTTTTATTCGATTTTCTAGAACCAATTCAGTTTTAGCATTGGCTATCCTTTCCTTCAAATGTGTCTTCTGACATTTTTAACTCAATAAAATATGCAAATAATTTATTGTTCTGTAATTTTCATGGTAGACATCTGCATGTATTCAGCACCCAGATCAATCAACAGAGCATCATCAGCTTTTCCGTAGTCCCCCTGAGCCTCCTTCTAGTCATTACCTCCCAAGAGTGTCTACTAATTGGACTAATAATACCACCTACTGTTATTGTTTTTAGTTTAAATTCTTGCTGATTAATTCCATAAAGTCTTTATTGAGTTGCACCTGAGACATCTCAAAGGTTATTATCTTGTTATTCAAGTTCTATTCTGTGTCTTTGGAGGCTGCTCAGAGAGTTCTGAGGTCTCTTATTTTGCTCTGACTTCTGGGTCCCTCAGTGGTGACATCACTTTCTGTATCTGCTCACTAGTGCTCAGGTGGCCATCATTTCACTGGCAGCAGCCCTGTGATGGAGCAAAGTGAAGTCCCTACTGTCATTTATCACAACTGGATCCCAAGATGCAGATGAACTATAAGTCCTCTGCTAAAGCACCAAAGGAAGCCTCTTTTCCCCCCCTGGTTGCATAAGTACCCAGCCAATCTCTTCATAGTGTAAAAAGAAAATCAACCAATGCAGGAATTTATAAGTTAATATTTTCAAGAAGTCCTTTGGCTCTGAGATATTCACCAGTCAAAATTCATTAACACATCTTTTTGTGCATATGTCTAGCTATCCATGTACCTATCATCTATATCTATCTACAATATCTATCTATCTATCTATCTATCTATCTATCTATCTATCTATCTATCTATCTATCTATCTCTATCATTATCTTTCTATCTCAATCTTTACATCAGTTGAATCATATCATACATGCCACTTAGCCCAATATTGAAATTGCTTTTTTCACCACTACTTTGGCTTATTTACTGTTATTTGTTTATTTTTTTGCTTGCTAATGTTCTTTGTCCCTTTTTTTCCTCAGGCGATAGATGATGAGGAAGATCGCTTCCATGGTGTGCGTCTACAGACTTCGCCCCCAATAGAACCCTTGAACTTTGGTTCCTACTATATTGTGTCTAATTCGGCGCACCTGGAAATAATACCCCAGGTTGGTGAAATTTGAATCTTATGAAACAGGTTTCAGAATATTATGTGCTTTTGAAACAAGTGGAAGAATCTTGGCAAAATGCAATATTTTTTTTTTTTTTTTTT